CGAACAGAAAGAAAGAAAGAAAGCAAGACAATAACTACCTCCCTGAAAGATTACTTACTCTAACTCAATCATTCCTAATATCTAGACACTCCTCGCTCGCTTAATTACGCAATCAATCCTCACCTTCCTCCAGACAAAGTTGGCGTGGTCAAGCATGAACTCTGGAGACTGTTTCATCCTGGACCTCGGTCTCACCATCTACGTCTGGAACGGAGCCAGTGCCGGTCTCATGGAGAAGAGGAAGGCTCTGGATGTGGCTCGCCGCATCCGGGACGAGGAGCGAGGTGGACGGGCCGAAATGGGAGTCATGGGTGAGTGTACGAAGGACTTCTCTCGCATGATACGTAGCTACAGTGGTGAAGTAGAACTAGACTCTTGGTACAAAAATACATGTACAGCAAACACACAAACACAAACGTGTGATTGAACTATGGGGTGGGCTCTCACATAATGTTATATAGCTAGCTAGAGCAGTAGTTGCCGCACAACGGGCAATGTTCAAGGGAGAAAAGTTTTGCAGTTTTGTAGCAAACTTAATATTGCTTTCACAGATTTTTACTTGCTGGTCCCTTAATGCAAGTGTTGACGACCACAATGTTTCGTCCTGTGGCCAGTTAATAAATCCCAACAGTTTTCTTCCATTTTCCCGCTATACGGTAGCAATTTAGCACTCTAACTCGACACCTGCCTTTCTGATAATCCCATTTTACATGTGCACAAAAAATGATGAAATTCTCGGCAAGTTGAGCCAGTGTTCATTTTTTCTTCCTTGTTAAGTGAGTTCTTGTTATCCAACATATAAGATTCTCTGTTCAAACCTGAACTAAAGCTGGTCGTCTGTATAAGCCTCACATACCTCCCCTCCTCCACTCCCTCCTTTCTTCTGCCTTCTTTTCTCCTTTTCCCTTCTTCCTCCCTCCCTCCTCCCCACAGAGGAGGGTACGATGGACCCGGAGTTTGTGAAGACATTGAATGCCATTGCCGATGGGACTCCCAAGGACATCTGTGACCCGACAGATGACACCACCTTCGAGAGGATCTCCAGGGACTCTGTGAAGCTGTACCGTGTGTCTGACGCCAGTGGGAGTCTGGAGATCACAGAGGCCGGGTCCTACCCTCTCTCCCGGGACCTCCTGGACAGCAACGTGAGTGCTCCCCTTAATACTCTAGTAATTAACACGGGTGTTTGATCTCGCAACAAGTTTCACCTTTTTCGTACCCTCCTAGTGGCTCACTTCATGGTTCTGTAAGACAAGGCATTAGATTACTCGAAAATGTTCGCCTGTTTTTGCCTTCAAAAGTATACTCTTGTGTGGTGAACTACAGTTAAACCTCTGAATAAGGGACACCTTCACATAAAAGACACTGAAAGTATCTTTTATTCAGAGGCTTCCTTAATTCACCGAACTACACATACAGTAGTATGTTGCATTGCTGAGCTCTTGCACAAAGTTCTAACTTGAAAGCTCAGCTTTTCCACACACAGTATCATGCTTATACAGCATGTATCAATACTTAGCTTGATGGGTGAATGATGTAGGTATGTAGCTCTGTCATAGGGAACCCCAGTTACCACATAACACTGTGCAGAATGTAGTTAAAAGTTTGCTGCTTGCAAACATGAAGGAGGTATGGAGCAGCAGGATGAAAAGCCTCTCGGTGTAACTCAATCCCTGACAACAGCATTCTCGTGTCTACTGCACTGTGTTACTTTGCCCACAGGATGCCTTTATCCTGGACACTGGGTCTGGAGGCATCTTTGCATGGCTGGGAAAGAAGGCCACCAAGGAGGAGAAGAAGGCTGCCTTCAAGAACGCTGTGGTGAGTATATAGTAGTACCACCTTTAGTCTCTAACTGATTACATCGTGATGATGTAATGTACTCTCCATTTGTGTGCTTCTCTTCTGTGCAGGACTTTATCCAGCAGAAGAAGTACCCGAACTGGACCCATGTCACCACGGTGCGTGAAGGGGCGGAGACTCCGCTGTTCAAACAGAACTTCAGCAAGTGGATCGGGAAGAATGAGACCACCTCCCTGGCCACCGGTCGTGTCTCCACCACCACCAAAGGTGACTATACGTAAATCTGGGGTTATTCCGACCGACCTTGATGCAGCACTAAACACATTGCAGATGGGAATATTGTTTGGCAGCTTGGGAGTAAGGGGATGGTCATAAGTCTGAAATATCTAGGTTTATACCCATGCAACCTAGCTACACCATTCTAGCTTGTGTTTTTACCATGCTCTTGAACTGTGTAAGCAGCGCCGTTATAATCACTGTACGTAGATTAAGTACACCTAAAGAGCACTATTTTAAAGCTGTGTTGCTGAGTATTCATGGCTGTCCACCCTGATCATTGGGAGCCTCTGTGTTGTGTGCGCATTATGCCGATCGAGAGCTGCCCAGTGAGCCTGTAGCACAGATAAGTAAAGGTTCTATTGTTTACAGTTGCGTTTGTGCCAGTTGGTATAGGACTGCAGAGTATTGTGGGTTGGGCAGCTCTTCTAAAAATAGCTGTCCTTGGTGTAGTTTACTTGTTTGCCTTGCTTTGGTTGTAGCCAGATTACACATGCCCTTTGACGTGTTGCCTCCCTGCAGTCCAGCCCAAGTTTGACGTGAACAAGATGCACACCAAGGGATCCCGAGAGTCCCAGCACCTTGTGGACGACGGCTCGGGCAACGTTCAGGTACATTGACACACAGTGTAGCTTTTCTTCTTTCTTTCACTGAACTAGTACACTTGGTATAGTCAAGGTACTGACTATCAGATTGAGGATTCTTTGCTTAGAGCATTGCTGTGGTCCTAGCAAGTTAGAGAACTAGAACTACTATAGGCATTATGGGCTGCTGAATGCAATCCGTATATGCCAGCTAGCTATTCAGTCCCTCCCTTTTACTGCTTTGTGCGAGATTTCAAGGGCGTCCTTAGCTTGGTTACTTTGATCACAAACAAGTGCCTTTTATAACGCAGTGTTTTTGTACGTATGTGCAGGTGTGGCGTATCGAGGACTTTGAGATGGCTCCCGTAGACCCAAATATGTACGGCCAGTTCTATGGTGGAGACTCGTACGTCATTCTCTACACCTATGTTGTCAACGGGAAAGAGAGCTACATCATCTACTTTTGGCAGGGACAGGTACGTTGTATGAATGCCAACAGGAGCTGCTGGGTAGATGGTTTACACTTCAAAGTTTGGTAGACAAACCCCATTGTTTTATTGAACTGGACCATAAACTGAATGGCCAGTGACACACTGTTACACAAATAGGCTTCGAGTTTCAAAATTCCTAAGATGCTCCCAACTTTTACCTTCTGTTCCTGTTCTTGCTCATTATAATTATGTTGGTATGTCATTCATTTTTGCACACTGATACGACATACGCTTGGATTATGTGCAGAAGTGATGCTTGAATGTTTTTTGTAGAGGCCTGCTGCCACTCCAAAATTCTCTGCATTGGCTTACTAGTAACTATGCCCAAATCTCCCTCTGGTTGTCTGTAGGAGTCGTCCCAGGACGAACGAAGTGCAGCAGCACTCCACGCGGTCCATCTGGACGACAAGTATGGTGGAGCTCCGGTGCAGGTGCGCGTCGTGCAGGGGAAAGAGCCGGACCACTTCCTCCTGGTGTTCCGTGGCCGCATGGTGGTCCACTCGGGCGGCCGTGCCAGCGCCTTCAAGAACAGGTTTTGACACGGACAGCTACGACGTGGACGGGACTCGGCTGTTCCACGTGCGAGGCACCAACGAGTTTGACACGAGAGCTGTCCAAGTGGAGGAGAAGGCACCCAGCCTCAATTCCAACGACTGTTTTGTCCTCGAGACACCGAAGTCCACATACATCTGGTATGGCAAGGTGAGTCCTGCGTAGTTCACATCTGAGCCACCTCTCACCCTCTATCACTCCTTTCCCCCTGTCTTTTCGATTTTGGTAGAATTTGAACCTGTTGCAACGGACTTTGTGAGCCTATCTATGTACACTTCTAGAGCTTCCATGCACATACAATGTAAACCGTTTTGCTTACATACTTCTCGTATCATACAGCGAAAGGTATATAGATAAATAGTGTCAGCAACACCAATAATTATTAGTACTTATACAACGTTCATTCTTCCATACAAGTACTCATGCGGCAGCTCTCTGCTACTTGTCCAATCCAGCACTGGTATACAGTACAGGCCATTACATGAATCAATAAGTAACGCACTGTGGAGAGTTTCTCACCCATGTGTCGTTAGATAGGACATGCACATAATATGGTAGTAGAATTACGGTGCCTGGATGCTTATGCCCCTATAAAACTCATTTACGTAATGCACACTTGGAATAACGCTGCCTGCAACCAATATTCAAAGTCACCCATTCGAAATCCGCACATTTTCCGTAGTTAGCATAACTTACCCGTGTTGCACACTTGTACGCCGTTTTTGCCCTGCCTTCTAGCTCCGTTTTCTTAGATTGTTACCCGTAAAGTGTGCACGAATTTCGTAGTAGAAGATCCATGAAGATGGAGGTTCTGGAGTAAGAAGCGTAGTCACTGGAGGTCTCTCTGTCTCACAGGGCTGCAGTGGAGACGAGCGACAGCTGGCAGACAACCTCTCCAAGAGCATCTCCCCGGGCAGGGAGCCAGTCAAGGTCACCGAGGGCTCTGAGAGCACCGAGTTCTGGGACTCCCTCGGAGGGAAGGCACCATATGGATCTGGTGAGTTACATAGACTCCCCCGACAGAGTGTGAGTGGTGGTTGGCCACGTTCTGATGCTGTCTTGCATACTTGACATTGGGATTGCACTAACGTCACGTACGGTAGTTATGTGGTGTTGCTTCATGCACTTCTTTGTCTGCATTTTGCCAAATAAGGTTGCATTCATTCTCACGTTTTTGACGAAGCTAACTCCATTGTTATTACAAGTGACAGTGAGCACACCTGCATGCGTATTGTGCATTGTTTCCATTTTAGGTCTGTAACTCATTGTTATCATTGTGTGTATGGGGTGTGTGTGTGTGTGTGTGTGTGTGTGTATGTGTGTGTGTGTGTGCTTACTCTGTGTATGCATTTGTGCTTATGACCATACATTACTTACTTTTATCATCAGGTAAGTGGCTGGAGGAGGTGGTACCAACAGTTCCTCCTCGTCTGTTCCAGTGCTCCAATGCCTCTGGGAGGTTCAATGTGGAGGAGATCTTTGACTTTGCTCAGGCTGTGAGTTCACATGACTCTCCACCTCCCTTTCTCCCTGCACGTATAAGCATCATTTTATGCTATTATGCACAGTGCTATCCCCTGTGAAAAGGGCTGTTTTGGTTGGTTTTAACCATAGTGAAAGTGACAATAGCCCCCTGGACTATTACTTGCAGTTGCTTACTCTGAATTCTCTCTTCTCCCTTCACTCCTTCTCCTTCTCTCCTTCTTCCCCTTTTCCCTTCCCTCCCTCCTCTCATTCCCTGGCCAGGACCTGATCCCAGAGGATGTGATGATCCTGGACACGTATGCTCAGGTGTTTGTCTGGATAGGGCACGATGCTAACGAGGTGGAGAAGAAGGAGGGACTCAAGTCGGCCAAGGATTACATTGAGTCTGATCCATCTGGTAGAGACCTTGACTCCACTCAGCTCCTCCAGGTTAGCCACCAGTGGTGTGGTCTATAAATGACATATATACCATACATTTGGCCTTATATTGAGGAACAATAATTATCGTGAGTTTATAGTGTATAGTAGTAGCATAGTAGGCAACTAGACAGTGGTTCTGTAGTCACAGCACGAGCACAGAATGCACCACTCCAAATGAATATCCTCAAGTTTGAATGTGGCAGCATAAGGTCCTGTGCAATGATGCAATAAGTTTCCTTTTTAGTTGCCACATTCCCTGTAACTGTAGCTGAATGCTGTAGTCCATCAACTCTAACTCTGTGGCTGCAGGTGAAGCAGGGCTTTGAGCCTCCGATCTTCACCTGCCACTTCCTGGGCTGGAGCTCTGACCTCTGGGCCCAGGACAAGTCCTATGAGGTCTACCTCAAGGAGGTACGTATGTACATCACATGTTTGTTTACCTAGTGTGGATATGGGGTCTAGAACCGACCAGCCTTAGCATGCCAACCAAAGCTAGGTAGCCTTAAAGAGTACTAGAATAATTGCATTGCGAGTGGGTGCGATTCAACTGGGTATGTTATACTTTACCTGCCTCAGAAAACATGTATAACTCACGGCTCAGTTACAAAGATAGTTTATCGATGGATTTTCTCACGCTGCACTTGACCAGTGTACACTACGTATGTGTTGCAGGTGAAGCAGGGGGTGACAAAGGTGGCAGACGAGCTGGCCAAGTATGACCCAAACACAAAGTTCCCCTATGAGAAGCTGAAGGGGAAGAACAACTGCCCCACTGGAGTTGACCCATCCAACAAGGAGGTATAATGCTCGCTGGGATTATCTAGCAGTGAGTGCATGAACCTGCTGTGTCTCTTTCGGAAATACTAGAAGGCGAATGCAGGGCATTGAGCGGGAGCGACCACACAATGACTGTTTCTGCACGCACCATCCTAGCCTATTTACAACTTGCACCTTGGAACCACGGAGATTTGAAACAGCCTCGGCTAGGCATTGAAGAGCGCAGTGACGAATAGATCTCTAGCTGGCTAGATCACGGATCAGGCAGCGTGTAAAATCATTTTGGATACAAAGAGCGTGTGATCCAAACGCATGCTCAGTTGGACAACGTACGTACATAGGAAAAATTATTTGTCATGGGCACAAATACATAAATTGTTCTTCAGAATAACGTGTCGTAGCAAAGCACTATGTATCAGGCAATTTACCTTCGTATGAGATTCCTCTACGGCCTTTTATTTCTCATTGGCAATACTCTTACTGGCACACAAGGAGATGTGTTCAAATTCTGCCTAATTGGTACACAGCAACAATAATTATGCTGTTCTGCTGAGCATTGATGACTGTCTATAGTAATGTTCCTTCTCGTTTGCCCATGTGTAGCTTCATCTGTCAGAGGAGGAGTTCAGCAAGGTGTTTGGGATGAGTATCCATGACTACCGCCCCCTGCCCCAGTGGAAGAAAAACAACCTCAAGAAGAGTGTGGACATGTTCTAAATGGAGCCTAGACATAGAACTTAGTTTTTAAAAACTTTTCTCTAGCGAAGCGTAGTATATACACGTATTATGCTGTATGTCTTTGTATGGAGCATTTTTTACCAGGTGTGCAAAAAAGAGATATATTATGTTGATAGCGTATAAACTGCGTTGCAAAACACAACAGCATTATTAAAAGTAACACATGGAAAAACTCGTTCTCTCCAGTGTAAAATTAATTACGGGTCAAATTTTTACCTCCTGTGTTGTTTCTATTAGAGAAGGACCGATTAGCAAGGTGTGAGCAGTAGCTAAACGTGCTCTGAAGATGTAAAAATTGGGAACGCAGCAGAAATGGAGTTGGAGTTACCACAAGCTCAACTCCCGGAGTGCAAGCGCTATATATTCGAGATCGATCGACCGTGACGCTGCCGAGGACGCTGCAAGCTACAAGCCCCGCCCACTATCACCCCCGCCCACACAGCGCGTGTTGAGCGCCCCAGTTCTGCGCATGTGCGAACCTCCTTCGAGTTCACGTTTTCGCGGCAGCTCGACGTCCGGGGGTACGGGGGAAGGAGAGAGGGTGTACTCAGCTCAGTAAAGCCAGCTCGGCCAACCAGACTAGGATCGAGACCGTGTTGACGTCACCCACCGTCACTGCAGAGCTAGTTGTAAAAGGAGAGGTAGTACAGTTGGAAGACGTTGACCTACTCGGACGGTATGCTTTCCCGGCATGCACTCTTGTTTCTAGACCCCTCACAAGATTTACCGTCGTAGCGTGCATCGTATACTCTAGACCTAGCCGAGGTGGCGCAGGTAGCAGGTCAGGCGCGCGTTAACTTGTTCAGGGAGTTTATGGTGGGCTCTAATAAGATTGTGATCCAATGCAGATCTTAGAGGGAGGAGTCAGTAGGCTATGGACCTGACCCAGGTACTGGAGGCCACGGCCTCACCTGGTGAGTAAATTATCTCTTGCCCCTACCCCACTGCCAATGATGAGTGTCGACTTGTCTCTCCAGACACACAGCTCATCACTCAGGCCCAGCAGCAGTTGGAGCAGGCAGCGCAGGCCAACCTGGTATGCTCGTATCCTTAACTCCACTCTTCCTGGCATGCATCAGCCCATGCATTTACAGAACCCACACCCTATTTATCATTCCTTCTCCCCTCTCTCTTAACTTACTTGTCGACTAGAACGATGAATGTAATGCATTATTGACCAGCGAGAACACGATTGTGAAGTTTCAGTTGTTTTAGAACACAAATTATGTACGTACACTAAGCATTAAGCATCAAAAGTTGCAGTCTACAAACTGAAGAATTGTACAATTCGAACAACTCGGTAGGCTTGCTTTGCCAATAGTATGTAATTGAACCTATGTTACGTGTACATACCAACTCACTCCCTATCACTGCAATGAATCCTCTGTGCCCGCAGCCAGCGTTTCTGACGGCCCTGGCCAATGAGCTCAGTAATGTAGGAAAGAGTGACGTGGCTCGCATGGCAGCCGGTCTACAACTGAAGAACTACCTCACCTCCAAGGCAGTAGAGGTCAAGGTTCATCTTCAGCAGAGGTGGTTGGGTATGGATCTAACAGTGAGACAGCACATCAAGATAGCAGTAAGTATCCAGTGTTGACACTGGTATACACATACCAGTTGATACTGGTATGTGTATGGTGATGGGATGTATGTGTATGGAGTGATGTATGTACAGTAGTAACCCATCCAAAGGTTTTTTTGCCTTCCTGCACACTTGCGTTTGACCCCCCCTGCATTTCTCCTGCAACTGTCTTGTTAACCCTTGGCACACAAGTGCAGCAAGGGTTACAGTACTTGGTTCGTGAGTGTGTGTGTCTGTCTGTTACCACGTTTTTTGCCACCACGCACAAGAAATCTGCCAAAGAGCGTTATTAACGGGTTCTGTGCTACACTGGCTTGATTTTAATAAAGGCGATTTTCATACAGATTCTGTGTTCTGAAGTTATGGTGTGAAAACCAAGCGAACAAGCCAATATTCTAATTAGCACAGGCTTACCTCGACCGGGTCCGCTTCCTCTGTGTATCTTGAAGGCACAATAAGTCACAACGAAGGGCCTTTATCGGCTCGCGCATGCTATCTACTACTGTAGTTAACCCGTGTCAGACTCTCCGCGAGCTACTAGCGGGAGACCACGAGTAAACGCATACTAATAACCCAGCCCATCAATTAGTGGTACCGCGCATGCACAGTTCTCCGAGGGTTTGCACGTTAGTGCTTTTCATTCCTGTGTGCTGGTTTTGCATGCGTGCTGCTACTGTGTGATTATGAGTGTTTTCTCCTCTGACAGGTATTCAACACACTAGGCACAGAACCTGCTCACCACAGATCAGCTGCACAGGTAAACAAGCTGCCGACACCTTTGTCCTTCTGTCAACACTCTTCTGTTGCTAACTTTACCTTGCAAGGCCAATTGGGGAAGTGGATTGTGAAATTTGAAATTTTCCTAGTGCCATGGGGGAGCGCAAAGTTTTACCCAAACAATTTTTATCCATGGATCTCTGCGTTTAAAGTTTGCGCAAGAAAATCCACAGATGGTCCGAATGAAAGTACCGGGTGTGCTGAAAAGCTTAGTTCTTCAAGGCCAAGGCATATGAATTGTTGTGTGTGTGTACGACAGTGCACTGAAAAAGGAGAGAGAAAATTTTTGCCTGAGGAATTCATTTTTGTGTGTATTTGTATTCACACTAATGCGCACTACTGTAGGTCTGTTGACTTTTTCCCCCCAATGAACACGTCTGTTGTAGGTTCACTGCATGAACTCTTTCCAGCCAATTCAAACTTCATTTAATTGCTTCCCCCCCAGTGTGTGGCCTACATTGCGGCGGCAGAGCTGCCGGCCGGCCAGTGGCCAGAGATCATCGCCAACCTCCTGCGCAACGTGTCGGGCACCTCCAACACAGAGGCAGTGAAGGAAGCCTCTCTGGAGGCCATTGGATACATCTGTGAAGAACTGGTGAGTTGGACCTTCTGCTCCTGTTTGTTTGGATACTCATGCCCATCTTTGCCACTTGAAAGTATAGCGACATCATGTATATATCATATTTTGATACCTTGAAGTATAGTGACGGCCATAGAGTATTTTGATACCTTTGACAGGTACACTACATACTTCTGTTGCTTTGGTTGGGTGCACATGCAATAGTGTGTTTTTGGTACATGAGAACTTGATGAGAACTCGATATGGAGTTAGTTAGAGCTTTGGTATACAGTGAAACCTCTGAATAAGGGGCACCTTGGGGACATCGACCATGTCCTTTATTCAGAGGTGTCCCTCACTTGGAGATGTAATAATTATAATACACTAATGTATTAGTATATGGCATAACCAAATGTTCTTTATAGAGAAGCTTCCTTTATTCGGAGGGTCCTTTTTTGGAGATTCCGCTGTATGTATGTGTACATATGCTATAAAACCGTGCGAACACTATCATGAATAGCTGTTACCCTGTTCTACAGGATCCCAATGTGCTGGCTGTACAAGCCAATGAAATCCTGACAGCCATCATCCAGGGCATGAGGAAGGAGGAGCCAAGGTCTGTCTGTGCTCTCTTCTCCTTGCATATCTCCCCCTACTATATTCTTGATTCTTGTCATAGAGTACACTCTCATTGTCTATTTAGGTAACTTTGATGCCGAGTTGTAGAAACTATGCTATTTAGTGAGCTTCGGGACCCTTACCTTTAAAGTGCAGTGAGGATAAGGGCACCCAAGGCTGTCTTAATTCACGTAGTTTCTATGACGAGGCATCTAGTTTAGAGTCATGACAAAGTGTCTGCTCGAAATCACGCACGAGAGAAGGAATGGCCGTCAATGGCAAACAATGGCGAAATACACAAATCGTTTGAAGACTTCATAGCAGCCAGTCGTTTGTTTGTGTCTGACTCCACCCCACTGACTAGCTCGCACGCTTGCACAACAGAGTCATCGTCGGTTTTTAAAGCTACAGTAGCAGGTCAGGGCGTGGTACTGAGGAAGTTCGCCAGCACAATGTTTCTGCCATAGAAACCAAAGGATTAAAGTTTCCAACCCTAAGTGGAAAGTCTCTGGGGTACTGTGTGTGCGTGATGTGATTTAGTCTGTGCATTTTCCGATCAGATTGCACAATTTGCACGATTTCTGATCAGATTGCACAAACAACAAGTTTTCCACTTTGTTGCACCTTATAATTTTGTTTGGGACATGACGTGGATATACGCATTATTATTTGTTACGTGTTTGTTTGGTTATGTCTCAGTAATCGGGTGAGGTTGGCTGCCACCAGAGCCCTACTCAACTCTCTAGAGTTTACCAAAGCCAACTTTGAGAAGGAAGTGAGTTAGTGCATTATGTACAACTTGTCACTTGTTTGCTTAGCCTTCGAGTAAGTACAGTGTATAGTGCTCTCTACTGTGTCCCATGTTATACTACCGTACAGTAGCAATTCCTTTTTAACCCTCGGCGCACATGCGCAGCGAGGGTTACAGTACTTGGTTTGTCTGTCTGTGTGTCGGTGCTTATTCTGCCACTACAGGCCACGAGGCGGCCTATAAGTGATACCAATGGCTTCAGAACTATGTGAGCCTGAAAATTAAAATGGAAACGGCGATTTTCCTGGAACGACTGTGTTCGAGAGCGATAAACTGGCACGGTCACGGACCGCATTTCGTGGCCCAACCCATCAATTAGCAGTGCGCATGCGTATATTTGACGCAGTCCACGCGATATGCTGGCTTACCTCGACCTGATCCGCTTGCTCTGTATCTTGAAGGCACAAGAAGCCACAGCGAAGGGCGTGTATCGACTCTCGCATGCTATCTACTACTGTAGCTTGCCCGTGTCAGACTCTCCGCGAGCTACTAGCGGGAGACCACGAGTAAACACCATTAGCCCAGTCCATAAATTAGTGGTACCGCGCATGCGCAGTTCGCCGAGGGTTTGCACTTTCATTTGTTCCTGTTTCTGGGAAGTATCTGGTTTCATATGGAATGTAGTGTGTTTTCATCCCTGACGGGGAATAGTGGCTCGGTTTTCATTCGTTACACTCTTCACTATCCATGAAACCACATCATCTCCCTACAGTATGCGTCAAGAAAAACGTTTCCAATATCGAGCGGTTTCGTTATATATTATAATGCCTGTAATACCAGGCATTTTGTGGTGAGTGAACACAAGCGATTCATGAAGTGCGTCCTTACATGTGATGATGTTTGCACATGCACACCATCAAATTTGGCAAAGTTTGTTAGAAACTCTTACAATGCAGACAACTATGTACTGTATGTGGACTTGAAACTGCATGAAATTGAACTTACCCTCACCTATAGCACTTATGTATGTGCTCGGGCAACAAAGTTTCTATTTTTTGCTATCCTCCTATCCACTGTTTCTCGCTATACTGTACTTTCCAAGTCCTTCTGAGTGCTTCTACCTTCCGTATTATTGCCTGTTCGGATGAAACAGTATGCTTGCGGGGCTTTGATAGAGTGGACCAGCATACCACTGCTCTGCCTCAATGTATTGAGATTGAATGTATGGAGATGAAACAGTATGTATAATAGTATGCAGTTTTTGTTTAGTTTTGGGTGTTTAACTTTGTTTCCCATGTTTCCTGCTAGATCGAGCGTCATTTCATCATGCAAGTGGTGTGCGAGGCGACTCAGTGCTCAGACAACAACGTGCAGGTGGCGGCACTGCAGAACCTGGTCAAGATCATGAGTCTCTACTACCAGTACATGGAGGCCTACATGGGACCTGCACTCTTCGCTGTGAGTCTGTCTGTTAAGAGGTCTCCTGTAGAGATACCCCCGTTGAAACAGTAGTGTTCATAGAGCTGCATGTGTTCCTGGATCATGCTCCTTATAAACCATAAGTGAATTGAATTCTGTATGTAGCGACTAAGCTCGGCATTGGACACTTGGTGCTTTAGCTAAGTCCCTGGTTATTTGTTGAGTCTTGGAGTGTTCTCTATTGTATAAGCGACCATCCTCAATTTCACTGCCTTACTAGAACAGAAGAATTGTAGCTACCTTGTCACCCATTGCGTACGCACGTGTATATGCATGCATACCCTACTCGCTTACTAGTCCGTCCTTTCCAATAATTTCTACCGCTTTCCTCACCTCTCCTCTCGTCCTGGTCCTATCTCACTACCTGTATACAATACTTCCCTACGTTCTCTCTCTTCCTGCCTATCTATCCTGTACCCATTACCTCTCTCACTGCCCTCTCTTTTCCTGCCTATCTCCCATACTCTGTACCCTCTCCCCGTCTCTCGCCCACCTCTTCCTCAGATCACACTGAATGCCATGAAGTCGGACAATGACCAGATAGCTCTGCAGGGAATAGAGTTCTGGTCCACCGTCTGTGATGAGGAGGCTGATCTCTCCATCGAGGCCATGGAGGTAGGTTCTCCTTACTACGCCCTGCACAAGTGGAAAAATCATTCTTCAAAGTGGAGGGGGATATAGGGATGCACTGTTTCCCGCAGGGTAATATTCAAACAGGGTGCTTATGAATTATTAATTACTACCTCAGCTTTCAGGCTGAACTATTATACTATTATACATACTCTGGTTTCAAAGCACTTCCTGCTGGGAAATCCCCTACTGGCCTATTTCTAGTGCCACTCTATAAGCAGCAGCGCATTACTGCGCACAGTGTAACCGCGCTAGTTGCATTTTACGCATGCGCAATAATTGTGCACGCCCATTTTCGGGATTTTTCAATCCGGGCGGAGCACCCGGTTGTTATAATGCTGCGGGAAACACTGCTGTTCAGTTTTAACGTAGAATCCTGTGTTTTCCCTTTTCCTTCCACTACCTTCTGTTCACTGCTCCATTTTTACATCATGTGTGCTTTTGATCTTCCCTTGTCATTTGCGTTTTCGTACTGTTTCATTTCAGTCCAAGTCAATGAAACGAAAGAGTACGAAAACCCAAATGATAGAATATGCCAAGGGAAAATCGATAGCATACACAATGGAGTAGTACACTTTTTCTGGAGTATATACACATTTGCATGCAAGCTCTCCAGGATGCTGAGTTGTACATCATGTAGCAGTTTGCAGTATATACAGCATGTTTATACAAGTGGAAAAATCATTTCTTCGAAATGAAAGGGGGATATAGGGATGGCTTGAAGCACCAAAATGTAAGAAACAAGGGGTCATTACACAGACACACAATGCTACATGACACGATCCCTATATCTTTGTCTGATATTATTTTGTTTATGAATCAATAGGACAAAGATATAGGGATGGTGTCATGTAGCGTTGTGTCTTAGCTGTTTAATGACCCCTTGTTAACCCTCGGCGCGCATGTGCAGCGAGGGTTACTGTAGTTGGTATGTCTGTCTGTCTGTCTGTCTGTCTGTGTCGACACTTATTCTGGCACTACAGGCTACAGCGGCTTCAGAACTACGCGAGCCTGAAAAATAAATGGGCAATTTTCCTGAAACGACTGCGTTCCAGAGATATGCCATGAAAACAAGCGAAAAAGCCAATATGCATAATAGCACTGGGCTTACCGTGAACTGTTCCGATCGCTCTGTGTACCTTGGGGACTCAGGAAGTCACAACAAATGGCATGTATCGACTCCCGCATGCTATCTACTACTGTAGCTAGCCCTTGTCAGACTCTCCGCGCGCTACTAGCGGGAGACCACAAGTAAACGCATACTAATAGCATCCCAGCCCATCAATTAGCGGTACCGCGCATGCCCAGTTCGCCAAGGGTTTCCAATTTAGTTCTTACGTTTTTGTGATCCAAACCATCCCTACATATCCCTTCATTTCGAAGAAATGATATTTCCACCTGTTTACATTCTCTGACAAACAATGGGAAGTATTGAAATGCAGAGGCTGTATTTTATAGACAACTAGCAATGCATACGTGGCTCTCGCGAAGTTTCTCCCCACGCAAATCGACAAATTGTCGTCTCGCGGAGCCAGCCCGTCCAAAGGTGCCGGCTCCGTGAGATTTAACAAACGCTGGAAGAACGAAGATGTGATATCGAGGCTGCACACACGTGTGCGTGTGCACGCATAAGAAAACTCCCCTTAAACTGCTGGACCTCTGAGTCAGCAGCAAACGGCGTCGTTCAGTGTGACTGTCTGGAGGAGCTCCACGATCTGCTGTAGCGATGTGCGACATAAAACAAATGATCGCTTGATGTCCCTGCACACCTCCGGTGAATCTATAGTCGTTCAGTGAAAAATCAGCACTTCAACTGGTTCCGGTAAGGAGATTGCAGGTTTAAAGAAGAAGATGAAGAATAATATTATGATGATGACACGAAATTCGGGAAATCGCGTACGAGTGAATTCTCACGTGGAGGACTGAAGGTACGTATGAGGTCTTGGGGCATATGTATAGCTAGATATGGACCCATAGACTATTACTAACTGTTTTGAAAGCCTAGGGAGTCATTCTACTGAATTTTAAGATTACGCGGATTACGTGAGATTTGACCCGTGCCATCCCTATGTAGAGTGTACCGATGCTATAATAGTGCAGTGCAATGAATAAAATCCTGTATTTTGCTCTCATGTAATTAAAATATCCCCTTTGCCAGCGTATTTTCTCGGGTATAAAAGTCTTATTTCTTATTTTGATTATCAATATCGGTGTTTTCTGTTCATGATGCTGGCAAGCTACATATAAGTTGATTAATTTAAATCACTATTAGTACATACATATGTACATCCAGGTCTAGGTCATCCATTTTTAATATAGGTTCGGTTTAACAGTGAGAAAGCCAGGCCTGAATTCCAGGAGGTGGCATGTGTATGTAATTTTATATATTATATATTATATATATTGTTTTTGACTATTGACTGTAAGTATATATAATATGAAGGTAAGGGTAGCCTCACCAAGAGAGTAAACTACGCATCATGGTACAAGAAGGTGGTGGCACATTTGCCTCTTTTAGCTACAATGTGTCGTATGGTGTGTGTCTCACAATGTTGCTGACATTGCTGTAGGCGGCAGATGCAGGGAGACCTCCAGAGCAGACCAGCAGGTTCTATGTGAAAGGAGCTCTGGAGTACCTGGTCCCCATTCTTCTACTCACTCTCGCCAAACAGGTGACCAAAGCATCCCCCTCCCTCTCTTCTTGATATTGTCTAGACGTATATGTCTACCTGTATGCGAACAATATATGTGCTACAATCACAAAGGTACAATTGGGGTTAGCATGTATATAATAATATCATTTTTGGCCAATTCAAATGTGACAATAAATAATTGGTCACGTGATGATCACATGATGAAATGGATATATGTAGGAGGAGTATGATGACGAGGATGATTGGAACCCGTGTAAGGCGGCTGGAGTCTGTCTCTCCCTCATGGCCGCTTGCTGCGAGAACGACATCGTGCCCAGGGTCCTCCCCTTCGTTGACCAACACCTCCAGAACGTGGAATGGAAGTTCAGAGATGCAGCCGTCATGGCACTTGGTACTGCATCTATACCACTCAATTTCCTGTTGTCTCATTCCTGTATTGTCTCACATTATGCCTAATTGCTTGCAAATGGTGCTATGTATAGGTGTTCGATGTTCTCTTCCTAATGTGATAATGAAAAATTTGGAGAGTTTTGTACCGTGTATTTTTCGTATGTAGGTTCCATAATAGAAGGGCCCGAAGCATCTACCATGGAAGGATTTGTACATCAGGTGAGTTATAGACCCACACATTGAGCTTAAAAGCTGTAAAGTTCCCATGCTCAATATTCGTTAACCCTCGGCACGCATGCTCAGCGAGGGTTACTATAGTTGTCTGTCTGCTGTCTGTTACCCAACATCTCACTTCACGAGACATGAATCGCTCCACAAACTATACCAAGTATTCAGCGTCAGGTATAGAGGTTGAAAGGTATGTAGGGTTTTCTCTGAAACTGCTGCGTTCGAGAGTTATGGCGTGAAACAACGAGCCAATATGCTAATTAGAACCGGCTTACCTCGAGCAGGTTCACTCTCTCTGTGTATCTTGAAGGCACAAGAAGTCATAACGAAGGTCGTGTATCGACTCCCGCATGCTATCTACTGCTGTAGCTAGCCCGTGTCAGACTCTCCACGAGCTACTAGCGGGAGACCACGAGTATAGCTCAGCCCATCAATTAGCTGTATCGCGCATGCAGAGGGTTTGCACTTTAGTGCTTTTTCATTTGGGAATGTGGCAGTATACAAGGACTAACATTTTGCTGAAACAATAGCTTAATTGCCGCAATGTGCCCTATTGTATTGTTACATCTTTTTATAACTTACTACCACATTCCTTCATAAAAACTTTGCATAATCTATGTTTGTTGTGTAACCAACTGTTACTTATTGTCTTACCATTGTTTTGGGTGTGCACATAAAATTTAATAATGCACACACACCTTGTCTGTAGAAAATGGAGACTCTGATCTCGTTGATGAGTGATCCAGCCGTCCAGGTACAGGACACGGCGGCCTGGACGCTGGGACGAGTGTGTGACCAGCTCCCCGAGGCTGCTCTCCACGAGTCGTGTCGTGAAGTTCTCCTCAACTGCCTCGCTTCCGGCCTTGAGAAGGAACCTCGCGTTGCCACCAATGTCTGCTGGGTGAGTCAGTAATGGTGATACTCATATGGTAGGGCTATAGACCACACTTGTCAAGCCAACAAGACTGTCGTGTTGGGTCAGTAATGCTAACAATCACAAGACAGTCATATTAAAGGGATATAGACCATGTTCCTAGAGCCAGTAACACATAGACATTGTCAATGTTTCTGCAAGCCTCCAATAACTTTAACTTTTGTGTGTTATTCATGAATATGTGTAAACACAGTTATGTGAAAATGCTAGAGAATTATTAAATATTTGCGAGATGTTCCAATGGAGGATCCCATGCTAGAATGAATGCAACATTTATGGCAGCAAACGCGAGTATTTAGAGCCATGTAGAATTGTTTTTATAATGTGTATGAAGCATACATACATATGACCAGCAATGGATGAATGTAAAATGTTACACATACCGTTCAAATGCGCTCTCATCGCTCGCCAATTATAGGTAAGCAGGAGTGAGTCAAACTATTTGATTACCCCTCGGCGCACATACGCAGTGAGGGCTACGGTGCTTGGCCGGTGTGTGTGTGTGTGTGTGTCTGCCTGTCACCAGCTATTCAGGCACTACAGGCTACGAGGCGGCGCATGAGCGATACCAACAGCTCCAGAACTACGAGAGCCTGATAATAAAAATGGCTTTTTTCTGAAATGACTGCGTTCCGGAAATATGGCGTGAAAAAACAAGCGAAAAAGCCAATATACACATCGTGCTGGCTTACCTCGACCTGATCCACTCACTTCGAGTACCTTGGAGGCTCAAGAACTCACAACTAAGGGCGTGTGTCGACGCATGCTGTACCTACTAGTGTATAGCTACCCTGTGTCAGAACTCCGCAAGGGGGTCAAACAGGTAAACGCATACTCTTAGCCCAGCCCATCAATTAGCGGTACCACGCATGCACAGTGCGCCGAGGGTTGCACTTTAGTGCTTTTCATTATTCCCAGCGGGCATAATTATTGGCAAACACCTTTGAGTAAGGATTCTCTATGTCACATCTCTGCAACAAAGTTTGTTTGAAGAACATATAAATGACACATGTTGTTATTTTTATCAGTCGTGCACATCAAAGAAGACGCTGTGTGCGTAGATACACGGATATATTTTGCACCAGGCTCTGTAACCACAACCACGCGCTGGTCACACCACCTTCAGACTATTTTCAACTGCTCTGCAGACATTGACTTGTTTACCATTTCATTGTCATTGGTGAGACCTATTGAGACTTCACCATCAAGACAAACTAAAGTGCCCCTTTTAGTTAAGAAAACTAGATATGACTTGAAATCATACAGCAGTTGTCTTTGGGCTTTGGGAGATAATAATAAGTGACATTAATGTAGATGCAGACTGTGGGATAAACAAGACATGATTCTAGTCTATGTGTTAGCGCTGTTGTTGCTGCTAAGATTTGGTTTCTGTCTATGTACAGTTGTTGGCCAATATCTGGTGTAGGTGGACAGGGTCTGTAAACAGTCACCTCTACGTGACTTGTGGTGAAACTTTCTGGTATGTAGCCAGCGTCAAGGAAGCCTATGTTACCACAGTTATCTACTTGGCCGATGTACCCCAAAAAAATCTACAAAATTGTTTAGGTAGTTGGTTTAGGTAAAATGGTGTTACACACAGTAATAGAAACTCACACAAAACGCATCTCACAATTTCTAAACGCACCAGGCTCTCCTTCATCGCTTCTTCCTTCCCTCTATGCCTAACCAGCTCTTCATTATTCCCTGACCGATATTAAACATAACTCTAGCCCCATTCCATGCAGTTATATGTGTGGCCTATGTTGTAAAAACTCCTTGCGTCTTTTGATACATATCACCTATTATTATGACAACTTTTCGCAACTATAATGGCACCATTAATTTGGACTTGTCTTTGTTTGTGGTATAAGTTCATATTTGGAAGTCAGCAACCAGTAGGAAGTCAATGCACTAGAAAACGGAGTGCTGCAGTGAAGTCAAAGCTAATGTATGAACGTATTAGCTGCATGCAATTGTAATTTGGTGCACTTGTGGGGTATACTGTGGTCCCTGTAGCTACATTGGCTGTAGCAAAAGCTGGCAAAGAATCTGACTTGGATAAATTCTTTATAGTACGGCACCTAGCTATACGTGTAAGTATATCAGGCATCCAATATCTTACACACCACAGCACAGTGTGTGCATGCAGCAAGGGTCACAGAAACCTCACCACACATGTGCAGCGAGGGTTACAGTGCTTGGTGTGTTTTTATTTGTCTGTCTGTCTATCAATTCCAACGTTTCACTTGTCGGGGCACTTTGAAGAGTAGAGGTGTAGTTGGTTTGTTTGTCTGTCTGTGTGTGCAGTGTGTTTGTGGGGAGAGAGGGAGGAAATTGGGAGAAAGGAAAGTGACCAAACACAATAAGACCAGAGGCTGGGAGACTTTTGTCAACTTCACTACACGCGGCAGCTCAGTGGTCAAAATTACATGTATTGTTAGATGGACCAGGGTACCCACTTCTGCTTCAGTATTTTGCTCTTGTGCAGCCCTAGCCTATCACATTGTAATTCAACAGTCTCATCCATACAAACACAAGAGCAGGACAAGGATGGTTACTGTAGTTGGTTTGTTTGTCTGTCTGTGTGTGTTGGTGGTTGGGGAAAGAAGAGAGAGAGGTAAAGTGTAGGCAGGACTAAAGCTAACGAGAGAGGGTGGGCAACTCTTGTCGGCGTCACCGCATGCAGCCAGCCAGATGCTTAAATGTATGTAAACCTATCCACAAGTCCAACAACATGCAGGTGCAGTGCTAGACTCTTTGTTACTGGTCATCAGGGGCGTTCCCAATCTTTCACCATGCCACACGCATTTCGGCCTCTTTAAACTCCAGAAAGGGCGAGGCCACTCCACCTGGTTGGAGTCCAGATTTGCCTACTACATGGCTACAATTATTGTACTTACAAACTAACCTACATTACATAAAGGCGATTTTAGTATAGCAGCTACGTATCCTTAGTAATAACTTGCTTCATTTCTTTGGTCTTCTCTATTCTTCACTTCTTTCTTTATCCACTCTTGCTCCTAACTGAGCTATATACTACAGGCAAGCTTGGCTGTTTTATACCTTGTTGTGGATGTTATATCTACTAAAGTCAAAACTTCCCGTGCTGTTAATTAGTGTGTGTGTTGGGTATTGGGGGAAGAAAAGGAAGATAGTCCTAGCTTGTGGGAGGCGTGTGCCAACCTCACCGCGTGTGGCTGCCTAGTGGTCCAAAGTGTATGCATCATTAACTGTTGACTCACTTCTACTCTACTTGGGAACATATATTGGGCAATATCGAGCTATTATTCTACTCTATGTTATTGTATGATTTGTGAGGGCACCTAGGTTATGGGAGTAATAGGGAACATGGGGAGCAAGGTACTAATGTTAGAGCAGAACAGTATGTGTGTGTATATACCACACATACGAGCACAAGAGTAAGACATGGATGCCCAGCCTTGAGAACTGGGGACGGTGGGTTAAAGATCTTTGATGGCTAGCCAACTCTCCCCACACATCCAATGTCACACAGACTCTCGTGTAAAATCTACAGCTTACAGTACTGTATTGAAGTAGTTACAATCAACATACCTTAGGCTCTCTGGGGGACTTGCAATCCTATGGCTCTACTAATACACAATGGGGTATTTATAGGGAGTTGTGATGTCATAGGTATGGAATTTCCTAAGGGGGAAGTGGGCTTGTTACTCTATATAGGTGATGTATTTTACTCCAGTGATACTCACAAGTGTAAAAATGGTGTGTGTGTGTGTGTGTATAATTAAAGTGCAAACCCTCGGCGAACTGCGCATGCGCGATACTGCTAATTGATGGGCTGTGGTCTTCCGCTAGTAGCCCGCGGAGAGTCAGACACGGGCTAGCTAGATAGCATGACAATATTCATAATCGCACTGGGATCTGATCCGCTCGCTCTGTGTACCTTGGAGGCTCAAGAAGTCACAACGAAGGGCGTGTATCGACTCCCGCATGCTATCTACTTGTGTAGTAAGCCCGTGTCAGACTCTCCGCGAGCTATTAGCGTGGAGACCGCGAGTGAACGCATACACTCGGCTAAACCCATCAATTAGTGGTACAGCGCATGCGCAGTGCGCCGAGGGTTTGCACTTTAGTACTTTTCATTATGTGAAAAAAGACATCCCTATTAATTACACAAAACACAGATTAGTAATTGTGCCAGGAGCTCCTGGTAGCCCCTGTACATACCTTCTGGAGAGACACAGTGTCACACCATTTGCCATGTCACAAAGAGCACTGTTCCGTATTATTAATGAACAAACCATTGTAAGACTAATACAAAGTGTTATGTGGGTACAATGAGTTTCTTGTCCTGTCTACATTTCTTCATCAC